AAAAAAAAAAAAAAAAAGGGAAGCCACATACTTATCTTTAGCCAATGTTAGATTGTAATTTAAGTTCTTATCCAACTGCCTATGTTTGGATGTTTGGCATTTCAAAATTGATCATGAGACCAAAGTTCCATATTTAGGTCACACGATGACAACAGAACAAACTCCATAGCAACATTTTAAAGGGCTGTACAAAATACATCAAGTGGACCTTTAGTTAAGATTATTTTGTCAAACTACTGTTCCCAAGGTAAAAAATTATCAACATTTCAGTACTGTTGACTCTTTTGTAAAAATGAAAGAAAGGTTTTGTTTTGTTTCTCTGGTATCATATTGACACATATTGAAAACTTAAAAAATCAATATCAGCTCTGGGACAATGTAACTGAAGGATGAAAAGTCACAAAGGTGATGTAAGCTGATCTATATTATTTAATACAACACAGGTTACATATTTCATCTAGAACAGACATACGGACACCTGTCCTTAACAGACATTGTACTGCACACTTTATGGCAAAAATGTGAACTTTATAGCCTGCAAAAATCCTTCCACCATAGCAGTCAACAGATCTTCGTTACATCAAATGTTTTAATGGATATATAACCCAATAGTGTTATCATTTACCTCACATCTTGTTTTTGTGCTCCGAGATTCAAAAATGATGATGAACTAGAAGTGTTAAGTTCCCAGTTTTCCTTCCTGAATGACAGGATTGATGAGACATGAATGGAGACGATATTTTTCTGGGTTGTGTGAAATGTAGAGTTGAATGTGTAATGTTTCAAAGCATTTATGGAAATTTGCTATGTGTATCTTGTGAAGGTTTGTGTTTTTACAAGAGATGTTAGCAAGCCGCTATTGTTTTTGTTTTTTTCATAGCACTTTTTGTAAATTGAATGCCTTTATTTCCTCCAATACCTTTTGTTTAAAACCTTAATTACAAATGTATAGATGATATATTTAGCTTTTAGAGAACAATAACATGTAAATACAATATAAAATGTTTTATTTTTACAGGTACAATTTTGACAGTGTTTTTCCTATCAAAGTGTCATTTTTGCTTTACTTGCACAAGTGTTCTGTGTAGCTCATTGAGGGGTCTTTTAACAAATAATGTACCTTAAACACAGATTTCAGTAGGCCTGGTTTTTCAGAGGGCCTTCTTTGACTATTGGTCAACTGGTTTAGGTGAGAGCACAAGCAATAATGAAGCTTAAATGGACGATAAGATAGCACTTAATTCTATTATCTTGTTATGGGTTGTTATAAAGACAGTGTTTATGTTCAATAACTCCCAGGGTGATTAGTCCTCCTCTATCATCCTTTGACCTCGGTGTGACATATTATGACGTAAAAATGTTACTTGATTTCTTAGGGGTTTCTGTCTGAAAGCTGCTAAAGTCCAGATGAAATGGAAAATGTCTTTTTGACCCTTTAAGATTACATCCCTAGTCATTTTGTACCCATACTTAACAATGTATGCCACCATTATTACAAAAACATTTCTTTGTATTTTTTACATCAAAATCCAATTATTAAACAACCAGTTTCAACTAATAATATCATGTAATCCACCCATCAATTAATCTTCAATTTTAGGCGACAGAGCTAAGATTCATAAGTTAGCTAGTCAGCAACAGCTAGTGTTTCTAGAGACCGGATCTCACTGATTACCGTAAAACACAACTGTATCAGTGATTTTGGTGAAACCAGATCATATTTTATTAAGAAAATATATTCTGCCTCAATTCAGCTTACTGCAAATGTAGCTGCTGTTACCGTGCAACCGAAACGGGCTTAGCAGCCTCACAGTGAACAAGGCCAGAACAGTACCGTGTACAGTACAGTGAACACAGCCTCCAAGATAGGAGGCCAGTTTGACGGCAACAGTACCAAGATGATTTACAGAGTCTCCAGATGGACTGCTAACAGTAATGTTAAATGCTGTTAGCTAGTTAGCTCATACAGCTAACATCCCCTCACCACCCCTGTTTTCTGTTTCATGTGGACTTTGAATAAACACAAATTTTCCAGTCAGCTAACTACAGTTTCAACTCATATGACAGAATCCAGGAATTTGATATGGGGAGAATAAAAGCAATAAACTTTGGATCAAAGTTGAAAGAAAAAAGCTCTACACATTGGTAGATCCAGATTTGGAGTTTAGTATCCGATAAAGTTTGTAAATCTAAAGCTAATCTGAACTGTCCTGGGGAAAAGGAATATAAAGGCAGAATGTCTCCAATAGGTGGGAGATGCTCTTCAGTGAGAGGCACAGACCTTCAGCAATTCAAACTTCTTTATAAGCTTCAGTGGTACCAGTGAATTATTTTTTTTTGAATGTGTATGTAAGAAACACTGCAATACTGCAATATATTTTGGTATTGGATCAAGCTGCTAACATACTTCTAAAGCTCCTTAAGGTGCTACAGACCTCTTTTCTAGTTCTTAAATGTATCCAGTTTAGCTGAACAGTTGGCATGTGTGTGCCTTGTTGTACTATATAGCTACATTATATTTTTATTGTACTGTGACTTTTGTAGTCTTTTGACAGACTTGCCTGTAATATCACATGCCCCACCCCACCTGTGTGTTGTGATATTGGGAAACGTCGTCGCTTTGGGAGATTGCTCTGAGTGAAGTCACTCGGCGGAGATGAAGACTTTGGCGCCGACACTGAGAACTGCGACTCCAACGTAACGCCATTTTAAAATGAGCTGAGGAGGTTCAGAGACGAACGGCATTCCAGCCATGTTGGTTCTGTTATTCATTGCATTTCAACAATGCCATCCTGTGACAATGATGGACTCGTTGCTAATTCTCAATATTCTACTTCAAGTCTATTTTACGAACTACTGTTGTATTTTTATAAATATAGGCAAAGTAATTCACATAAACATATATATGAGTAAATATATATGTATATGTTTATAGGTTGTGTAAAATAAAAATGAATGCTGCAGCTTTTACTTGTTTTTTTTTTTTTTTTAAACATTGACATCATCCAAAGAGGCAGATTATTTATTGTCTGGCAGAATAACCTGATTTGATTTACATACCTTGCTGCTATGAGAGAGAAGAGCTGCAGTCGTCAACTCCAGTGTTTTTACACAGTGTAATGAAAGTTCAATAAACATAAAAGAAGGATCCAACTGTGTGTCTGTCTGCTCATTCTAAAATGTGATTTTGTTTGTACTTCTTGTGTAAGCTGGTACTTCTTTCAAGTCTTAATTACTGTAAGTTTGGACATTTTATGTGCTGGTAACGTTAAATCTGAATGAAAGTGAATTCTACTTTGCTGAAACGGGTTGCTTGTTAAATTCAAGCCCTAATATGCACCCTGAAAAATACTGGAATAAAAAAGAAAAAGAAAAACTGGAACAGTGGACCTGGCTGATTACAGCTACACTGACAGAAGCTTTGTGGTGGATCTAGAGAAATATTCATGTGGTGTTCAGAGGGTGGCATGGAGACTTTAAGAGGGGGCAGAAATATATGATGATTAATTACAATTACATATATCAATATTTGTTTGGAAAAGCGACCAAATGAACATGAATATTTGAACTCAGAAACATGACATTATTGTGGCACATTAGCAAAGCATTGAATATAAATATATAAAGGTGGTATTAGAAATCACTACATTGTTTTATTTATCTTCATTTTCTAAATTCATGTATGTCTTCACTGAACTTAAGCCTATCACTGAGTCTAAAATGTGGCTATGACAGATCATTCAATTCATTTCCAACTTTTTTATCCTGCTATTACATAAGATTGATATAAAGTAATGTGTTACATTTTACACCAAACTGGGGTGTTCTTCGAGATCCACCCCTCTAAATCCGACCCTGGATAAGGCTCATACCTGCCTACAAGGTTTAGCAGCTGAGCTGGAAAAGTCTTATGTTATTCTGTATTTTTCTTATTAACAACAAATCCCATGCAAGGGCACAACCAACAACACGTTATTCTGTCTCTTAATACTTTATGAAATCCCTACCCTGTCTGTAGCTCTCGTCCCAGAGCCCACTGGTTCCTACTGAAGACATAAATCTTTAAAAACAGCACACAAATATAAAGCTTAATTAAAAAAGGCTCAGTAATTCAGTACCTCAGTAAAAACAGTTGTCCACTGTATTTTCTATCAGATATTACTGAAACAGAAGGAAATGGTGCATTTATTGAGAACTATTTTCAGCTGTTTTTTTGGTACTCTAGTGAGTATTAGAAGCAACAGGACATGTGTAAATAAACTACAGTGTGAGTGTTCATGTAATAAAGAAACACGTCACCCAGTGCAACACTGTGGCTCCCTGATGTGTTTTTAATAGTTTCTGGACAACAACGGAGTTATAGGGCACAGAGGAAGGAGGTATATCCGGCTGTGGTACACACAGAGGACCATGTTTTTATCAGCCATATATCCATATAGCCTACTGTACACATCTGACAACATAGAATTGTGTTTTTCTTCTTGTCCCTACAGTGTGACGTTTGAATGCTGTCTGTGCAGAGTTTGACACTAGAAGGATGTTTTCACATTCATTTGCTGAAGTGGAAAGTTTCTCTGTGCTCATTGAAAATCTGATTTTAGTTTAGATTTTAGTGGCGAAGCCTACCCGCTCGGTTCGTGACTGTGGACTGGGCAGATTAGGAAGTATACCTTGTGTGAAACATAAAACATAACTCATATAGCCAACTTACCTATGTGAGTAAAGCAGACCTGACAGACTTTTGTCTTAAGTTTGGTTTACTGTCCTAGAGACAACAGATTCATCTTTGGCACATACTACATACATTCCTACCAGATTCATGCTGCTCGGGAAGTGTTTAGAACACTCTGATATGTTCTCTTATGCTATTGGTCATAAATTGATGTCATAAGTTTATTTAATATTCTGGTAATGATAAACAAACAATTGAAACTGACAGTTACAGAGGGCTGGTTATGTGTACAAAGCTTTCGTTAGCGGACTCTGAGGCAAATTTCAACTAAACCAAGCTATATTTTACTCTGTAGGCTGACCAGTTCTCCTTTACATTCATGCTTCTCTCTCTTTATCACGTCTGTTTTCTTGATACCCCTGTATTATTGTGGAGGTTCATCACTCAGTCCTAATGAAAGAGAGACTGCAGATGGTCTCAAATACCTATTAAAGATCAGCCAAGGAGGTCAACTTCATCAGTAACGAGGGATCAGAACAAAAGAGTAATACATGAAGAGGGTCACAGATGATGCAGCACATCAGGTCCTGTCCTATCATCACCTTCTTACACTGCAGTAGTTGTTAGAATGTCATCATCTGTTCCTGCATGCTGGGAGACTCAGTGAACAGGACACACACACTCTGAGCTGTGTAACATGTTCTTCAGTGGCTCCCTCCCCCAGCCTCAGCCTGTCTAAGTCAAATCTGTCAGTGAGCCCTTCTGAAAGTGAACAACAGTGTTCAGCTGTCTAGCTGCTGATAGTTAGAACATGGTATCCACACACATTCTTACACGCAAACATATTATTGTGCTTTACTACCACAGAATGCAAAAAGTGGCTCATTGTACCCCTTCCTCCCCTACTGTAGACAGAGTAAACTGAGTTGAACCATCGGGATGAACCCGATGAACCCGAGCAGAACGCATTACATACTCCACAACACTAAGTGGCGGTGTGGCTACCCGTGTGTGTGTGTGTGTGTTGAAAAGCTCTGAGAGAACAGAGCTGCAGTTCAGTCAGCAGCAGACTTCGGGTTACACAGGCTCCACTGCGCACCATGCCTTCTCCAGTCCCTGTCACCCGCCTGTTACCCACAGACCTGTACCCCTCTGTGGACATCGGGACCTGCAGCAGCCCGCTGACCAAACACTCCCACGGCTCCGCCACCTTACAAGTCCCGGTACAGCGGCTCCACGGCAGAGTCGCCAGTCGGCTCTGGTCCTCTGTGATCTACTGGAAGGAGCTGCGCTCCATGCAGCCTGTGGGCTCCGGTGGGTTCGGCTCCGTCTACAAGGCGGAGTACCTCGGGAGCACCATCGCGCTGAAGAAAGTCAAGAAGTGCACAAAGAACAAGCTGGCGTCCCGGCAGAGCTTCTGGGCCGAGCTGAACGCGGCACACCTGCGCCACGGGAACATCGTGCGCGTCATCGCGGCGACCACCTGCGTACCGGCGGGTTTTGG